TATAATATTGAAAAAGGCTTTCGGTTGGTTGGCTAAAGTGAAGTGGCATGTTAGGTGGGCTTTGTAAGGCTTTTGAGTGCGTTTGTTGCGGCCGAATGGTGAAATTCGGGCTGCCTTCTTTCTCACTTTTCTCCTCCTTCCTCGCGTTCTGTTTTGGTTTCTTTTGCTTGACATTAGTACCTTTTGCTTTTTTCTTTTTCCCTTTTTCCAAAAAGTAAACCCATGTTTGATTTTATCATAAAAAGAATAAAAATCAAAAGATAAACAAAAGAATCCATCAAAATATATAATTTATTAAATAATAGCTTTTCAAAAAGATATTTGTATGAATCTAAATATAATTATAAAATGTGAGTAAAAAAACATCAAATAGTAAACATAGGAAAAAAAAAAAAAAACTTATAATCGTTTATAAAGAATAAGACTCGTCAGCCGCCGCCTTTTCTCTCTCCTATTGCCGTTAGAATTTTCTTCCGTTCTCTCCTTAGAAACACAAAATCAAGCATGTAGATATGGAGAGGGGCTGATTCTTGTCTCTTGTAAATGTCTCTCCTCATATTTTTAGTTTTGTTATAAATTTTTATGTTTTTTTTTTTTTGTTAGATAAATTATAGATCTATGTCTATTCTGACTTAGATTTATATTATTTATATTTCTGCTACTGTTTGTGTTTTATTTGCATCTTGTGTGGAGTTTATAATCTATTTATTTTATGTGTTGTTTTATTTTATTGTTTGCATTTATTTGGTTTATTTGGATAGGTTGCAATTTGTGAAGAATTTTTCAACCATACGATGATATTTGTCTTTCGGAACCTGGTAGTACAACATGTTCCTCCCTTAAATTTAATAGTTTAAATTATCTGTGTTCGTCATAAGCAATTAATTCATGGATAATTATGCCATGTATAAAAGATTTTGGAGAGTTCATCTAATCAACCACTTTTTAACATCTATCCGTTTTCTTCGAATTCACATTCTATTTTTTATCAGGATTTCTTACTAGATCAGCGAATAATAATTATTTTATAGTTTTTGTTCTATAGAGTGGTCATGTCCTCTCTGTAATATTTTTATTAATTTAAAATTTTTTAATAAAATCTTAATATTATCTTAAAAAAAAAAAGAATAAGACTATCGGTGTATGAATACACCAAGCCAATAAGAAAATTTTCTTAAAAAAATATTACCACTGTTTTTTTATCTTGTTCTGGGTAGGACAGATATATTTATGACTTACTTATGAACTATGACCAAAATTGAGGCCTAATCTGAATATGAATATCAGTATATAACTATATATCCTTGGGTAGGACAGATATATTTATGACTTACTTATGAACTATGACCAAAATTGAGGCCTAATCTGAATATGAATATCAGTATATAACTATATATCCTATCAAGGCCTTTAGGCAATTAATTAGTGGCCCGTATGACTCTTCTCTTCTCATAAAGCTCTACAATCTAGATCCTCAAGAAATGTTGACTCTTTCACTTACGCCCAAAGATGAAAGCAAGTGGGATATCCGCGAAATTTATGTTATCTATATTTATATCTGGGCATGGCCACGGTTCCAGAACCGAACCGAAAAGGTCCGGTTCCGGTTCATGTTTGGAACCGTCCGGTTCCGGTTCTGGTTCCGGTTCCGGTCCGGTTACAAAACCGACGGTTCCGATCGGTTTTCCGGCGAATCACATAATTTTAAATAATTTTAAAATTTTAAATTTTGAAGACCGGTTTTATAAAAAATATATTTATTCTGAAACAATAAAAAATTAAAAAGATACAGCCTAAAAAATAATTAAAAAAGATACTTCAATAAATTTTTATTTTTTTTAAAGACCTTGAAAACATAATTATTTTTTAAAAAAAAATTCTTTCAAACTGAAATTTATTTTTTTGTTTAACAGAAAGTTCTGAACATTAATTTTAAATTTTAAAGAACCGGTTTAAAACAATATATAATATTTGAAAACATAAAAAGAATTAAAAAGATACACCTAAAAAAATTAAAAAATAACTTCAATTAAATTTATTTTTTTAAAGACTTGAAACAATAATTAACGAGATTTCACAACAAAAATTTTTCTAAAAAAAAAAAAAGAAGAAAAAGACCCTGACAGTTTTGGCTAGAACCCGCCCGGTTCGAAACCGGTTCAAACCGGCGGTTCTAACCGGCCGGAGTAAAACCGGCGGTTCCAGTCGCGGTTCCGCACCGGTCTCTGGAACCGCCGTTTCCGGTTCCAGAAAATTGGAAGCCGAACCGAAACCGGAATTCTCCGGTTCAGTTCCGCGTTTCCGGACGCGGTTCGCAACCTGACGGTTTCCGGTCCCGGAACCAGTAATATGGCCATCTCTATTAATATCTATTCTTAAAATTTTATTTATATCTATTTAAAATTTTATTATTTATATTTGTTTTAAATTCATTTAAATATACATTTGAATATTTGAATTTAAACCGTTTAAATTGGTACTATTCATATGTCCAAAATTTCTTTAAATTACTCTCGAAGGTCACAAATAACTATTTGAACTCGAATTTATTTAATATACAATTTTTACTAATAATGAATACAATACCCGTGAGTATCCATTGCCAAACCCATTTTAATATAGCGGGTAATATGTAATAAGTGTCTAAAGATTATTCTCATATTTTATCTGTATTCACTACAGACGGATAGTATTTTCATAACATGTATCTGTCCCAAATTCGTTTATAACTATTTATATACTTTTTACACTGATTAGCGTGCAGTGGATATCCTAAAATATCCGCACTACTTCTATTCCTACTTACATAAATTAATATTAAAAGATTAATACTAATCAATTAGCTAGTTGACTTTTTATTTTTATATGGATCTAATATTTTAATAATATGGGATATTGAATTAATTAATTGAACAAAATATGAACAAAATAGACCAATCGGATAAAATTAGGTCAAACATCACAAAAAAAAAAACATCACAAAAAAAAAAAAACCTCTCGAAAATGAATTAGAAAAAAAAACAAATTGAGAGAAATCAAAGTGAAAAACTTTTTCGAGGGTTTGATATTGAATCAATAAGAAGAATGATTGATATAAACCGATCAGAGAATAAATCAATTGAAGAAACAATTATTCAATCAAACCCCAAAAATGATGAAAAAATATCAAAGATCCAAAAAAAAAAAAAAAACAAAAAACAAAGAAATTGAAATCAAAGAACAATATTTTGAATAGAAAAGAAAAAATTTTGACATGATTTCAAGAAGGAAAAAGCCAGCATAAATGAGCCAATAAAGAAATGGAGAGAAAACAAAAGAAAATGAGAGAAAATGAAGGGGAAAATAAGAAATACTGGTCTTTGATTTTTGTTTCCTTTTTGGTTGTGGAGATAGTTTATTTCAAAATTTTGTTAACTTTGAATAGAAGGATATATCTATATATATATATATATTATGATATATATATATATATATAATATTTGTTTACATTCAGTGGGGGGCATTTTTTGTTAAGATCTTAACGGTAATATGGAGTACATATTTAGGCTTCATCGTAAATCAAATAACATTATTATCTCTATATATTTGTTTACATTCAGTGGCATTTTTGTAGATCTACGTAATATGGAGTACATATTTAGCTTCATCGTAAATCAAATACATTATTATCTCACTCTCAATAGCGTGCAATGGCGGGTGCACAAAATAAAATAGGGGTAAATTGACACTTTTTTTGTTTTTTACAATTGTTTTAAATATTTAGGATTTTTTTTAAATCGGTTCTACTTAAAATTAATATTAACCTTTTTTTTCATAATATTTTATTATATATTGGCTTTGAATTTTTTTTTTTTTTCTAAATTCAAACTATAATTATTAGACTTGCCTTTCTCTTTGACAGGGAGTATAGAATTACATTAGTAAAAATATGCCCTAATGTGGCTTAAGGTGAGCGCTAAATCAAATCTTAAAAATGAAATGAAATTAAGGAGGGTGTATTAAATTAAAATTCTGTTGGATTTTAGAAGATTTTAAAACATTTTAAAATTTTAATGATATGATCTTTTTAGAGTCTATTAAAATTTTATGGTATTCAATTCGCACTCTTATAAAATCCATAAAAATATGGTGATATTTAATTATGACTTTTTAAATGTCTATACAAATTTTATGGTATTCAAAAAATTACTAATTTGGAAGAATTCTATAAAATTATTGATTGCATTGGATTTTAGAGTATTATGTATAAATAAAAGAGTAATTCACAAATTCATCCTCCAATTCAAAGATTTCAAACATATTTTAAAATTTAACAAACTCTTGATCTAATACACCCCTTTAATAGAACGAAAGCAGAGCTGGTACCTGCGAATGTTAAACTACCTATATAGGTATTCATTTAAAACTTTACTGTCTGTATCCGTCTAAAAACCTGTTGAAAATAGTTCTTAAATGGATAAGATATTCGCGAATTTTTAACTATCCAAACTTCAAACTTATTTAAAATAAATTCTCTACTAATAATGGATAGAGTACCTACTACCAAACTCGTTTAATATAGTGGTTAATGGAAGCAGATGGCCACTGATAATGCTGGCCATTAAAGGCTTTTACGATTAGTGTCGATAAGAAGTTTTTAAAGAAGTAAATAATGATTTTGAAGAACCTGATGCATTTTACTTTTTAGTCCCTCATTATTTTTTAATTTTTCATTTGACTCTAATACCTTTTAATTTATTCAATTAAGTTCTGAAATTAATTTTGATTGGATATATAAAAATCATTGTGATTCGTCAATCAAAATCTATAAAAAAACTCCTATCAATTCTATAAAACTCTATCTAGAATTCTATTAGAATATATAGAAACCTTAGAAAATCTTTCAATTTTGTTAAACTCAATAATTTTTTTTTAAATTTAATATAATTTTAATCTACTACACCCCTCAATTCTATTCTCTGCCATCCAAACACACGTGTGCAGAATTATCCTTGTGTAGCAACTGCCGGTTGAAAGCCAATCTAAAACCTCACCTTAAACCCTGGCCTCAACTCAATTCTCCACTGGTTTGGTTTGTCTCTGCCATGCCATTGCTAGCGGTAGCAGCCATTTCTGATAGCTAAAAGAAACCGAATTCCTATTTATTATCAATCTCCCTCTATATGAATTGTAATACTCCATAGATAGACAAGAAAAAACAGGGTAAAAAAACAATGATAATGAGCGAAGTATGTGGGCTCCGTTCACGCTGCCTCCGCTTCTTCCTCCCTTCTCCAATACCACCTCCTCGCCACCGTAGCTGCCGCCTATTTGCCACCACTACTACATGCTCCTTTCCCGTCGCCAGCAAGAAAGAGAAGGTTATTGTGATTTCTGGTCCCACCGGAGCTGGGAAGAGCCGCCTGGCACTGGAGCTCGCCAAGCGGCTCAACGGTGAAATAATCAGTGCCGATTCGGTTCAGGTCACCCATTTCATTTCTGCTTTATGATTTAAAAGATTGTTAGTGGATTTTGTTTCTTAGTTTGGGATTATGTGAAAATTTGACGATTTTATTTGTTGATCTTGTGGAAGTTATTGTTACTGTTTTGTTCTATGGCTGTAAGCTGGGCTAAGGTGTATGTTTGTTTTTAATGGAGGGATGATTTCAAATTCATTGATGATTTCAAATTGATTGATTTGCTTGGTTTCTGAGAAAATGGAAAGAAAAGAGAAGACTCTTAAAACTATAACGGTTAAATTTGTTGGTCTTTGGGAATTTAATGTTTTTGGAAAAATTTCTCAAAAAACGAGAACAGAGGTTTAAATGTTCGACTGTTTGATTGCTGAAAAAAATGTTACGTAATTAGAAGAAATTGATTGAGGTCTGAATCTTTTACTTGAAAAGAAATTTCATTCTTTCTGGTACCTTGGGTTAGGAATCTATGCTCTAGTGCCTAGTCAATATGACCTTTACTTTTTTAAAAGTCATGAAGGCTGGTAAAGTTCTCTCTTGAATGAATTGATTCGTATGGCCTGAATTTCAGGTATACCGTGGTCTTGATGTTGGGTCTGCAAAGCCTTTGCCAAGTGAAAGAAAGGTATCTATAATATGATGTCTCTCTCTCTCCCTCTCTCTCTCTCTCTGTGTTTTTTTTTTTTTTTTTTTGTGAAAGAAAGGTACCTATAACATCAGACTGCTCCTTCTCTCTCCATCTCTCTCTCTCTCTGCTGTTTTTCCTTCTCTTTTTTTTCTGTCACTGTTGAATTTTATTTTGCTTGCCACTGGTTTTGAAGTTTCACCCCTCGATGTGTTTAAAGGAAAGCCATGATAACTCATCAAAATGCAGTTCATGTTCTTTTCAAATGTTACTTTCCTTTTGGTGCATACCAAATATTTAAAATTGATTGCATAAGAATACATGTGCCCGTTTTTTTTTTTTTTTTTTTTTTTTCTTCAACTGTTGAATTTTTTGCTTCCACTGTTGAATTTCACCCCTCGATGTGTTTAAAGGAAAGCATGATAACTCATCATGCAGTTCATGTTCTTTCAAATGTTACTTTCCTTTTGTGCATACCAAATATTTAAAATTGATTGCATAAGAATACATGTGCCCGTAAGCTTATTTTCTATTTTATATGAACGAATAGAGATTAATCTGTAAGCACTATGTATTGATTAGTGCTTCAATTTCTGATCCACCTGTTATTTAATGCATGTGATGGGGTTTTACATGCATATAGTTGCAAGAGCAAAGAAGAAGGTTGGACAAGATCTAGTGCAACATTATTGGTCATTTTTCCTTGAAAGCTCATGTATTTATCAGGTGCAGCTAGATTGGTAATGCTGTTTTTATCTTTAAAAAAATACACTAAGCAATTGACTAACAGGGATTTTCATGGATAGGATGATTGAAATGTATTAATTTCTTCAACTCAATCTTGAAGGAATTCATTCCCAGAGTAGAAGAAAAAAAATTTTGAAGTACTATTCCATTTTTTTCTTTTTTTGCACTCTTTTCACATTCCTCTCCTCTGTCAGAATAGTTTTGAAGCGACAAGGCATACATTGTATCAGCGAAAGATGCCAATTATCTCAGCATGGATTTAAACATTGAAAAATCCATGTTTTTGTTGGCTTATCAGTCAATAACCAGAACTTGACAATAAGATAACTTTTATGTCTAGTTGTAATAATTGAACTTCTTTTTGCAGGAAGTGCCTCATCACCTGATCGACATATTAGACCCATCTGAAGGTATGGTGTCTGCAGAATGTGCTGATGTCAGTAAAGCATTTTGACACAATTATTGATGCCAATTTGTTGGAAATGGAATATACTTTTTTTTTTATGCAATTAAATGCTTATCATGTAACGCTCTTTCAGATTATTCAGTTGGACAATTTTTTGAGGATGCAAGGCAAACCACACGAGATATTCTGAACAGTGGCCGCATTCCTATAGTTGCTGGTGGGACTGGATTGTATTTGCGATGGTAATCTTCTTCATATCTCCAGGCGAGATTTTGTAGCATTTCTTTTCTTTTCTTTTGGAACATCTGCACAGCTGCTTTTAGTGTACCAAGCTTGCAATTGCAAAAGTGACTTTTCCTTTTTGTTTATCATACAGCAATTTTGATTACTGTAAAAAACAAAAATCTGTATTTTTAGGTGTTAGATGTAATAATAAATATGCTACCATAAATTTGCATGAATATGCTGTCTTATGCTTTTCAAGTAAACAACTATGGAATTGGAAGTTTCTAACAAGATGAAAATGGCATTAGTTCAAGTTTTATAAGCTATGAAAATTTCTCCGGCACGTAATCTTCTTTGCCCTAATGTGGACGGCTGATGGAGTGGGTATATATTTAATCTCGTAGAGTGGGTGTGGATTTTAGAAAATGTGCTCTTTATATTGTCATTCCTGATTAATACAAAAGGAAAATAAATAGTATTTATAGTCAATAAAGAATTACTTCCATAATATGAAAAGTAATACTCGTTTGACAAAAAATTACTTCTATTATAGTCAATGAATATATTTTGACTTCTTTATCTAACAAAAAAGGAAAAATAGAGAGAACTTGCATGGCAAAATGCTCACTGCTATCTCTTGAATGACCTTATTAGGTTTGTATATGGAAAGCCAGATGTTCCTAAGGCCTCACCAGACATTGCATGTGAAGCATATGCTGAGCTTGCAGAATTGCAGAAGAATAATGACTGGGATGGAGCTGTGCAGTTAGCAGTGAAAGCAGGTGATCCGAAGGCTCAATTCTTGGCTGCCAATGATTGGTACAGATTACGACGCAGCCTTGAAATAATCAAGGTTAATTTGTGATGTTCTCCAGCTATATTTCTGAATACTGGAATTTCTCTCTCTCTCCATAGAGATAGGACACCATAAATATATCAAAATAAGCTAATTTATTTGACATCTAGGTGAAGTAATATACTTTGTTTAGAATTCTCATGCTGTATTAGTGTCTCAATTCAATTATACCTTCGGTTCCTAAAGTTAATGCCACTTTCTTTCTCTGATTTTTCCCGTACTTTTAAATGTTTTGACTTTTACGTTACGAGGCTGCTTACGTCTGAATTTGATTTAAATATATGTATTTTACCATTTAATTTACATTTTCTTTTGGCCTGGCAGGCCAGTGGATCCCCTCCATCAGCTTTTCAAGTTCCATATGATTCTTTCAAGGAACAATTAGGTGCAAATTTAACAGAGAGCTCTCACAATGTTAGTTCATCTGTTGATACGTCTGAGCAAGTTAAACCAAAAGATTTGGACTATGAGTTCGTGTGTTTTTTCCTTTCAAGCCCTAGACTTGATCTCTATAGATCCATTGATTACCGATGCGAGGATATGCTTTTAGGTAATGCCTATCATAACTTATCATGTTATATCATTTTTCTTCCTTTTGGGCATCTTAAACTTTCCAGTTCAAATTTGTTCTGATTATGGAGTCGTGTATGCTTTAAGAATACTTTTTGTATATGCATGATACTGACTATCATATTCTCATAAAATAGATTTACATTGTATACCATCTTAATCGGTTGGCAAAAAGAAGTGGATGTGTAATTTCAGTCCGGAAAAGCTGCACAGAGGCAGTGCTTATTTTTCATATCATGAAGTTAGCTGGGAACTATCTTTTCTTTGCTTTAATCACTGAGTACCTAGTATCTAGAGACACCAATACAAGCTACATTAGTGGCCTTGCATTTACAAGAGTAACTTGCAAATTAAGTGGGATTGAGCCTGGTAAATATGTGTACTTTCATTCATGTGTATGGTAAATTAAGTTTGTGGGAAACTGACTTTTATATATTTTCCAGTTTGGGGATGGATACTGCTTCCTTTATCTCCTATATGGTTGATTTTTTTATTTTTTATTTTTGTAATTTTTCCGCTAGATTTTTAGGGATGTACCACACAAGTTAAAATAGCATGGAGAGAGACAATGATCATTATTTGACAACATATGAAGTGTTTCATGTTTGATTACAAGATCCAAGCATATATCCACCATTTTGTTAAATGCATTTGTTATGACATTTTACCTTTAATTTTTCAGTTACATAGTTCAGCTCCTGATTGATGTTTCTTTGATTTTTATTTGTTTATCTTTAGGAACTGATGGTATTTTGTCTGAGGCCAAATGGCTCCTTGACATGGGTCTTCTTCCAAATTCAAATTCTGCAACTCGTGCAATTGGTTATAGACAAGTATGTCACTGACCTATTCATATTTATTTATTTATTTATTGTTCAATTCTCATGTTGTATAAATTTCTCTTATGATATTGACCTCATCAATACATAGTCTCAAGGTTTTACTTGTAGGTCCGTATTCATACTATTCCATGGTATCCCTATTTGGCTCACATTGATACCTAATTAGTCAACTGCACTGAATTTTTTTAGGAATTATGATTTTGGCTGATCAAAATTGGATCAGTTTGTTTGTGTTTGAGACATTTTTTTTTTGTTTCTTTTACCCTTTGTTTGGATGAGAATATTTTTTTTTGAAGGAAAATAACTATGGAAAGGTACTTTTCCTTGTTTGGGAAAGAGGAGGAAAATATCGAAGGAAGCAATATTTCATTTATTTTCCACCCGGCCCACATGTTTTAAATCTCTCCAATTTGGAGAGGAAATAATGGAGGAATGTGAGATTTTCACTCACTTTTATTAAATTACCCCAAATACTCCAAATTACTTAACAAACTTTAACCTTTCTTAATACTCCAGTATTTAAGTGAGGATATAATTGTCAATTTTCAAGAACAACATTTTCTTTCCTCTAAAATTTTAACCTTTCCAAACAAAGGAAAATAAATTTATTTCCTTTCCATCATTATAAATAACTATAGAAAGAAAGTTGACAATTCACCATTATCTTCCTCTATTATTTTCCTTCCTCTCCTTTCCAACAAATGGATAAGTACTCAAGCCAGTATTGACATTGTTCTTATTTTTCATTCTCTCTCTCTTTTTTGGCATATCGTCCTTGTCATTATCTTTGATATGATGAATATTTTTGGCTCTCTGCCCCTTAAGGTGAATTTATGTGTGACAGCAAGTTTTGTATGATTTTTAGGCTATGGAGTACCTTTTAAACTGTAGGGAACAAGGGGGTAGGAGTTCTGCAGGAGATTTTTATGGTTTTCTATCTGAATTTCAGAAAGCATCTAGGTAATTTTGATCTACTTACTGCTGATATAATTTAATTCTCGTCATGGAGCTCAATTTTCTTTGGATACCACTATTCTGTATTACGTTTTCCTATAATCAGAGGACATTAAAAATTTGTGGTGATGGTAATCCTTGTATGATATTCTTTGTTATCATGCTGACTTTTCTCCTTTTTATATCACATTAAGTTATCATCAAAATTCATTCAATATTGGACATACAATATGGAAGTCTTAATCACCTGATAGTTTCAGGAATAGGAAGTCTGCTGAAAAATAACTTTGTAGTAGTAGCCTATCAGGTTGAAATTCATCAGTTTATGGTTGTTTTATATATATATATATATATATATATTCACCATCCTATTTCCCTCCATCCCACTCTGCCACCTCTCCAAGAAGGGAAGAAAGTGAAAAACTCCACTAGCTAATGTGTAATCCCCTTGGATTTACAGCATCATCATCCGATGAATTTATCTTTTATTTCTTACTCTGCTTCTTTTGGTGCAGAAACTTTGCTAAAAGACAGATGACATGGTTTCGCAATGAACATATTTATCACTGGCTTAACGCTTCCAAGCCCTTGGTATGTTTAATTCACTGTTGTTTCTTTCAGTGGGTATCTATAACTAGAACTTTGCACGGGAGTTAGGGAGTGTGCCCAAGCTAAAATGTAAGCCAAGTTAAAATGTAAGGATATGATATAGGTGAAAGTTGATTGACAGGTAGGGTATGAAACTGAAGTATAAAAATTTTGGAGGTATCATTATTGATTTTTTTGCGCGTTATTTTAAATTTCAGTGTGATGCTTTATTTAAAACATAGTATGTTTGAGAACACACATTTATTTTTCTTAAATCAATAAGACTCGTACTTCTCTGAAGTTTTTGGAATAAAGCGGCTTTATTTTTGTCTTTGCTTTTCTATCCAAGAAACTGTTTTAGGAACTAGAATCTCATGGATCTAACTCGATAAATTTCTAAACTGGTAATGAAGCATATGTTAATAAATATATTTAGCTCTTCCCTTGTAAAGATGCGAAACTCTTTAGTTCTTTTGGTCACTGCTTTTTTTCCTTATGCTAATCTCTAGAGATAATTTCTTTGCAGGAAAAGGTGCTTAACTTTATTTATGATGCATACCATGATCAAACTGGAAATTTAATTGTTCCTGAATCACTTCAAATGAAGAAAGACATATCTGATCATCGGGAAATTCTTCAACTAAAGACTTATCGCACTAAAAATAGGTAACAGTTAAAATTTTATGATGAATGTATGGAGCTATCCTCTGTTACAAAGAGATAAAGAGCTTGTTTGATTTTGAAGGCATTTTGTCAGCCGCAATGATTGTTCTGATATTCTGGACTGGGTAAGTACTCAGGGTGAAGTAGCAAGTGGAGTTGTTTGATTTTGAATTGGCTCTCAAAATTTATTCGGTGGAACTCCTGAGTTTGTTGCAAAAGTAAGAACTTTTGCTTTCTGATAGTATGCCTGAATTCTCCATCCAAGTTTAGTTTGTTTTACGGATGTTTGCTTTGCAGAGATAATTGCAGATTCAACTGGTCGAATCCTGTCCATTTTGCCTCTAGACTTGCAGGGCATACTGACATTATACTGAGAAAGGTTTGAGTAGAATGTATTATCCATATCGGTTATTTTTGGTGAGTCATAAAAAATATAATCCAATGTAATCAAATTTATTTTTACTATAATATATATACTAGAAATGCATTTGATTATGTTATATTGCATTTAACTACGGCTCACCAAACGGAGCCGAAATGTTTTCTTTTCTATTTTGTATATTTTGTTTTTGGTTAATATTAGTAATAATAACTTGGTAGAAATGTTATTTTCTGATGGAATTTTGACCAAACTGTAATTTTTTTGTTACATATTAACCATATTTCTAAGCGTTGGTGTGAAATATAAAAAATTTGACGACATTTAGGCCCTGTTTAGCGATTTTAGCGGTTCTAGTAGCTAACTGTTGTAATAGTTATTAGTGGTTAAATATTAAAATGTTCAGTAGAAATAGTGTTTGAACGACAAAGGTAAGAATATAGCGAACAAGGCAAAGATAAGTAATGGGCATAGGCGTCACACAAAATAAAACGTTAATGAGGATAGCATTCATGAAACACTGTCCTGTCTTAAACTTTAATAATGTTATGTTAGGATAGATGTGATGTTACTGAATACGATAATTAATTAAACAATGTTTCAATCTAATTAAAATACTAAACACTACCTCGAAACGCTCTTGCCGAATAGTCTCAGTGGTAAGTTAATAAAAATGAGAGGAATCTAATTTTTTATTATTATTATTATTATTATTATCATTATTATTTTCTTTCATCTGAAAAATGATATAAGAAGTTGTGTTATAGTTTGAGCTGTATTTTAAAAAATAAATTTGAATTGATGGGTTAATCAGTTCAGAACCGGCCAGAATTGATCTGGGAGTACTGGTTGTGGTTTGGTTTGATCTCTATTACTGAAAAAGGTTCTGGTTGAGAAACTCCAAGGTGGTACTTGATCAATTATTGGTTAGCATGTCCATTAGGCATGGCCACCGGTTCGGTTCTAACTGGAACCGAACCGAAACGGAATCGTACTATAGAGGAATCGGAATCGGCGGTTCATAATTTTGAACCAGAACCGGCGGTTCAAGGGCCGGTTAAGGTTCATGTAAATCTTAAAATATGAACCGGAACCCGCCCGGAACCGGCGGTTCCGGTTCGGTTCGAACTGGATGCACAAAAAAATTGTAGCTTAAAATTTTTATAAAAAAAAAATTATATTACTTGATTTGATTTATGGTGAAGAGAAGTACAATGGTACATAAGTTATAAAAAGTGGTGAAAAAAAAATACACATTTTTTTACTTAATTTATACAAAAAAATGGTATATGAATAGTTGATTTATATAAAAAAAAAAAATACTTTCAAGTGTATAAAAAAAGAGTGTAACGAATAGTTTTTTGATATAATAGGTGTTTTTTTATTTATTTTTTGGTATCAAATGTAAATCTTAAGAATATGAACCGGAACCCCGGAAACGGGCGGTTCCGGTGTCGGTTCGACAAACTGGATGCACAAAAAAATTGTAAGCTTAAAATTTTTATAAAAAAAAAAAATTATATTACTTGATTTGATTTTATGGTGAAGAGAAGTACAATGGTACATAAGGTTATAAAAAGTGGTGAAAAAAAAATACACATTTTTTTTACTTAATGTTATACAAAAAATGGTATATGAAATAGTTGATTTATATAAAAAAAAAAAAAAATACTTTCAAGTGTAATAAAAAAAGAGTGCAAGTGTATAAAAAAAGAGTGTAACGAATAGTTTTTTGATATAATAGGTGTTTTTTTATTTATTTTTTGGTAAATAAATTTTATTCATTTTTTAATTCTTTATTTATTTATTTACTGTAATTTACTAAATTATCCAAAAATATAGTTGTTATTTTTCTATTATAAGGGGCAATTTGGGAAACTAATAAATGAGAAACATGTATAAATATGATGATGAGTTGATGATTTTTTATTTCACAACCAATTATATCATAACTCTTTTCTTATTCTCAATCAAAATTCTCTCAAATTTCCATATTTCATTATTTTTTCTATTGCTTTATTTTTCTTAATATTGGAATTATCTATTTGGAAATTATCTATTGTTTAATTTTTTATTTTTCTTACATCTAATTCCAATTTTTATCTAATCTCAATTTTTTCCATTCATAATTTACTTCATTTGATTTTTTTAATAATTTCTAGTATTTGAAAATGATAATTTCCTAAACTCATTTCATTAATTTTATATTCCCATTATAGTTTTCTATATTAAGTGAAAATTAGCAAAATTGTAAATTTAATATAATAATAGTTCCTAAAGTTAGTTAAATAGAAAGTTTTTCTTTTAAAATTTTATAATAATTTATTTAGTTAATAAAATTTAAACATTTTAAAATTATTATTTATTTATGAATTCGGAATTAAAATTTTATTATTTTTTTAAAATTTGGCGTAATGCCGAAACCGAATCGGAACTGTAATTCGAACCGCGGTTCGCACGGAACTCTCTGTGGCCAAACCATGCCGGAACCGGAACCCGACCGAAACCGATGGTTAAGGATCGGTTCCGGTTCAAAAAATTTTAAAACATACTCAAACCGGCAGTTCAGTGAACCGGAACCCGGGGCGTTCACATTGAAACCGGCCATGCCTAAATTTCATATCCCATACGGAGGTTCAAGGGTCGGTTCCGGTTCAAAATTTTAAACATCTCAAACCGGCAGTTCAGTGAACCGGAACCGGCGGTTCATTGAACCGGCCATGCCTAAATTGTCCATACCCATACATAATATCACAATCCTACAGCGAAGTTCAAATGACAATAAGCAACATAATTGCAATAACTATTGAATTTTAGGAATTACTTTTTCTAGCTCTGAGATTAAGAAATAGAGCTTATGCAGCAGCGGTGGATAATCTGCCTTTTAGAAAAAATTAAATTCAAGAAGTAAATCTTATAATTCAGTGAATAATATTAAATAATTTAAGCATTCACACAGGATGATTTCTAAAATGATAAAATAAACAATGAGTTAGTTAAGCACATTACATAATAACAGCACCGATGTACGAGAGCACTTTACATAATCAAACAAATGGAGATTGATATGTGGATTTACCGAAACCCGTAGCGAGCTGTCTTCGCATATGACCCGTTTTCTCATGATATTTGCACTAGGGAGCCAATTCCCTATATATAATCGATCAGTCTTAACCTTACTTGATCAATTCTCTTATCGTTTTTTTATACTCTATTTTCTTTCTCAATTATCAACAGGAGACCACCTTATAATTTTCCATATCATCTATAGTATTAGATGTACAAGAGGAGTTGATCTCTTTATACATGGTCAACGAATCATAGACTACCGTCACAAACCTAACCTGATGATGATTTATTGCATCCTAATTCTGATTCTGCATAAACAAGACAAACAAGGCAGTTAAGCACAAATAATCAAGAAATTTATTTCAAATATGTTTATGACAGTAGAGTTAAAAATGTGTTTGAAAGCATGTTTTGGCCGGTACAAACTTTCTCCAACCAATTTATATTCACTTCGACTCAACACGTATTGAACTAGCAATTTGAAAATATATGCTGCCAATACCATATATTATGTCCAAGGAAGACTGCAATTTGTATCTATTGATAGGTTGTTTATATAATTATCATAAGGACCAACATGCCTTAGTTGTCCACTTTCAAATATTTAATTTCAGAGAAGAATTAACTACACTTGATGTATGAACCCAGATATCCAATAAATCAATCACAAATAGGAGTTTAGTTTAAACGAGGGTATTTCTAACCATACGCTGAAAATAAAAAAAACAGATAAAATAGTAATATTTTTAGTCATTTTTTTTAAAGTAGTAACATTAACCTCTTTTATCTACCTAGGTAGACTTAAGGTAAGATTTAATACCAGAATTACTGGTTTTTGACAAGAGTAATCCTGTGTCAATGAGTATAAAAGAAAAAAGATAGTGATAGTTACAATAAATGTTCACCTAAAGAAGCTGAAGAAGTCTCACCTATGGCCTTTTGGACATTCTCAAACTTATAGAACTTAGCACAGCAAAGATAATAACAGAAGTTAAGTATCCCTACTACCGTTAGCACCCAATACACATTATCTAGTCTTCCATGATCAATATTATCAGGTAACCAGTCTGTAACCCTTCTAATCAGATCAATTAAAGCTGTGCCCGCATAAAAAGAAATCCCAGTTATCAAAGAAAGCATAGCAGTTGCTGTACTACGCAGCGAATCAGGAAATTCCTGGTAATAAAATGAGACTTGTCCGGGAAAGTGAAATGCTTCTCCAACACCAACTAGAATTAGTTGGGGAAATAGCCATAAGACGAGCATAGGCACTATCCTAGAGTTTTCTTTGTCACTATCTGAGTATTGAGCATGAGCTACTCTAAGTCTCCTTGACTCCACCAAAGCTGATACAGCCATGCCTAGCACATTAAGCACATGCCCTATTCCTATTCTTTGGAATAGAGTTAGCGGTTTTCGAGTTAGCTTTTGCCACATTCGAAAGAGAAACCGATCATTTATGGTGAGAAAAATGGAGCAACTAATTAGTCCTACGACGATTGAAATAGAGCCAGCTGGGATTTTGAAGTGGTGTCCAAGTCGACGATCCATTGTTAGAGCTTGAAGCACAGTTAAGCTGCTTTGCATTGCTATTGGAGTGCATACAAATAGTGCTGTTGACCATATTGGGAAAATCCTTATCAGAGTCTTCAAATCTTCTACTTGTTGTACTGTGCACAGTTTCCAGGATTTTGCAATTGACCCATCAGGATTTGTTTCTCCTTCAACTTTTAAAGCAGCTCGGTTGAAAAACCTGCTTTTGTTAGACCACATTTTTAATTAATTCAGTTTTTCCAAAAGAAATCATATTCAGAAAGTTTAAAGCAGTATATCCTAAAATTACAATCACAACTAAAATGGTTATCATCGAACCAACCAATCTAATGTGTTGTCTTTAAGATCATACCTGAAACTCTCTGTTATTGAAGCAGAAACCTGAGTTCCTTTCAAATCTTGCTCAAAATAATAGTCATCACTTGTAGAAGACAATAAGGCCTTCCTCTTTCGTATAGCTGCAATAACTACACGAGCTAAGCTAGTAAATGGGCTTCCATGAGGTTTATCAAGTCTATAAAGACGATTTCCCAGAAGAAAACTGACTATACCAATGAAATTAGCAGCAGCACAAAGCCAGAACCCCAAAGACCAACTAACATTATCTTCTATATAGACAATGGCAGTGGCACTTATTAGAGAAGAAAAATATAAGGTGAAAAAATACCAATTGAAAAAACTGGTCTGATCTTCTTGTTTGTCAAATTGGTTTGCTCCCATTGTTGCTATTGTAAATCTTGTCCCTCCTAACCCTAAAGATCCCAGAGCAAAAGCTCCATATAGTACTGTGTATTGGAGCTTTGATGGAGTTTGGCACAAACTTGAGTCTTCTGCCCTGCAAGGTTTAGGCCTCAAGGAGTCAAGTGTTGCAGTTAAGGCCAAAAGCACTATGCCCTGCAACAAATTATTATTTAGAGGACAAGATAAGCTAAGATTGAAATCCCTCACCTTCTGTATTACAAAACAAAGTATTAGGCTACAGGTTTAAATATGTTTTCGTTATGTATACTTAACTATTGAATTATTAGTTCAATAACCATTTTTGGCAGGCAATTTATTATTGGATACTCGTTCAATAGTTTTTTTTTTTTTTAATATCTTATTTTATATATATCCAAAGAAAAAGATTACTAGCATATGTTTGAATCTCGATTTTCTTTTAGTATAAGATGTATATTTGACTACTAAGCCATTAACGGTGTGTTCGGCAAGATTAGCTGTTTTGCTAGCTGCTAATTGTTTTAGTAGCGTTTAGCTGCTAGCTATTCTAGTAATTTTTCATGAAAACGTTACATGAGTTAAATTTTCATAAAACGTTACCTTAACCTCTAAATGCCAGTTCAAAGGTTATGTTACTAAATACTATAAAAACTATCGCTTACACTTTTGTCCAATTTGTGATCTCTTATATTAGGGACATGCACTGAACCACTAAATTAGAGTCTTCATAAACTACTTAAACCACCCAAACCGATTCAAAACTGCGGTCTTAGAAGTTGATGATTTAGTTTGGTATATAATTTTAGGTTAATTAGGTAAATTATATAATTATTTATGAAAATTCCAAATGTGGAAGGCTGTTGAGGGAAAATATAGTTAATGTACAAATTATATTTGGAGTAAGCTATTTTAAAAATTTTTTTTAGTAATAAATGTACAAAGAATCAACATTTGAATCCATAAATTGCCTAATTAATGAAGAATTAAAATTTAAAAACTAATGTAAGATTAAAAATCAAATAAAATATACTTTTTAATTTTATCGTTGAGGCCAAAAAGTAGTGCAAATCATTTTTTTCTCATACATATATAACACGTTTATAGATCATATATTCTCCTAAAAAAATGTCCAAAATCAAACCAAACTGCATTAATAGTTTTGGTTCGATTTGAGTATATTTCATGGTTTGATTTGGTTAAAGCTTCAAGCTAAACCAACCGAACGTACACCTCTACACCAGATTGCTAATCCAATGGCTAAATGAAGCATGTTTATCAGACAATGTATATAGAGATTAATTGAAAATGAAATTAAAGAGCAAGAAAGAGTAATAATAACTAAATTACCAGAAAAGAAACACAAGAAGATATGGCGACAACGGAGAATGAACCCAAGAAAGAGTCGGCAACTATAGCTCCAACTATAGGAAATAAACTGAAAGCACCATAAACAACATTGGAAATCAGAGCTGCATCTATGGTTTCCACATTAAATTCCTGAATCAAATACACTGTCAAGTTGGACACCCATCCTGTACCAGCTAATGTCAAGCATGTCAAAGTCCCTGCTCAAACACAAATAATATATACTTCATCGACCCATGATTTAGTACAATTAACTAGAATAACTGGAATTTAAATTTGAAATGATCAAAATAGAGCAGAAGACACTATATATGCACATAAATACCTATAATGAAAGGGATCCAGTTGCCTCTACGTTGGGCAGCAGAGCTTGAGACTTCTCCAGTTTCTGGGTCGGCCATTAGAGCCTTATTATTAGTTGCTTGTAAATGAAATGTGTGAAAGATGAAGATAGAGTAGGTCTTAAATGATAAAAAGGTGGTCCTACAATTTTGCAATGCGACAATATTATTATCACTAACACCAACCATTTATTATTATCTCTGCATAGAAGCCAACATGTCTATAATAAAAGACAAAGCGCTCACTCTTTAAAGAGATTCCATACCGAGCTCTCGCAAGTGAGAATGGATTCTTCCATCCCATCACTCAGATGTGCAAGCCAACTTTAATACAAATTGATTGGGTAATTGGGCTTCTTGTCTCATGGTGGGTGCCTATGTGTTCTCTCCCCTTTAGGCCTTTCTTTTAATTTGTTGAATTATGATGTCAGTGGTGTTACTTCCAATTGCTCTTGCATTAATTAGTTTTCTCCTTTAAGCCTATGCTCCCCCTATGTACCAAAGAAAAACAAAGAGCCCAACTGCTGCAAACCGCTGCATTTTGGAAAATACTTATCTACTATAGGGCTATGGATCGTTGCTGAGCCTCCGAACTGAATCGCAAAACTGTATCGAATTGGAATTGAGATAGTAAGAGCTGAATTGCACTCAACTGAATGCAATTAATTATTTTAGTTCTGGTTCTGGTTCTTATAAAGAACTATACTAGAACCACACTAGAACTGAATCGAATTGAAAAACTAATTTATACATATATTTTTATTTAATTTCTTAGTATATTATATTATTTGTAGTAGGTATCAAATCTTTTAGTATATTTTTTCTTTGAGATGATGGGAGCTTCTTTTTTTACAAAGAATAAAAATAAAACCTTATTTTTATATTGTAATTTTATTTTGATAGATATATTTTTATGTAAAGGAACATTGTAATGTATTCTAAAAATATAATAATTTCTAGTGGATACTCGAACTAGAACTTGAACCAAAATCAAAGAATTGAAATCGAAAAACCGAAACCATATCGAAACTTTGGTATAGTTCTCGTTCTTCAATCTTTCAGTTCTGATTCTAATTCCTAAAAATGAAAAAACTGAATTTTTAGTTCAATTCTTTTTTTTTTTTTTTAAGAACCATACCAAAACTGAACTTTTACGACCTTATCATCTACAACTGGTGTATGGGATCACAATATACCAAATCAATAGTTGGTTATCATTTGAAAAAACTATCACAATCTTTTAATAGATTGTTCTTTTTTCAAATGAAATGAGAGTGATACCTTTGTTTGCATTAAATAAATTTATGAAAATTACCGGTTGTAGTTTCAAATATATAATTTTACTAATTTGTGTACAAATATAATAGCTTAATAGCTCATATTTAAAATTCATTTATAAATACTCTTAATTTTGCTAATTAATATAACAAAATTAAATTTTCCAAAAAAAAATTAGATAAAAAAAGTCATGAAACAATGACTGTTGTTATTTCTTTGTTTGTTAACCTTAATCTCAAATAATCTGTTGAGAATTGCCAGTGCTCATGGGCACCTATATATTTCTGTTTTCTTTTTTTTTTTTTTTTCTGAGTTAAACTACTTTTTATGTTTGTATTTTTTTTGCGATTTAATGGGAAGTGAACAAAAAATGAAGAAGTAGAAACAGAAAAAGATAAAAGCCATTGGTTTTCAATGAGAGGGAAACTGTTAAAAAATGTAAAAAAAATCCACGTGTTATTAACTGCCAAACCAACTGCACGATTTCACAACTGACGAGAGAGCGCAAAAAGGAGCCATCATCGTTCAAAGAATTCACTCGTGAATATGGCTTCTTCGTCTTCTGCTCTTCCTATTCCTCTCTCCACACCTTCGTATCACTTAGACTCCTTCTCCGGCAGCAACAACCATAAAGCCTCTCTCTTTGCGATCTCACCACTGCCAAATATGACTCTCAAACCCCTACGATCCGCTCTCAGCTTAGCAGGCTCTACCAAGAGGGCCAACCACATCTTGCTCGACAACTGTTCGACACAATTCCTCACCTAACTATAGTTCTTTGGAATACAATTATTATTGGTTTCATTTGCAACAATATTGATGCGGAACCCCAAGAATAGCATCTTGACACCCAAATAAGATTTTATATATAAACCATAAATCCCAAATCAGGAACCCTAATTCCCAAATTATGAATTTCTTGTTGGATGGAATTGCGGATATTGACCCAAAACTCAACTAGAAGTATGAACAAAGATATCAAGGTGAAAGGATGAACACTGCAAATATAATTATCTTTTTATAAGTTCGAAAATAAGTTCAATGAAGAACCAAAAAGAATTCATCGCTCTTGAAATAAAATGCATAAATTGAATAATCTGTCACTAGTATCTGAATGATACAAATACACAAACCCTAACTGCACAAGAGGATATTCTATTCTCAAATGGAATTATCTTTTTATAAGTTCGAAAATAAGTTTCAATGAAAGAACCAAAAAGAATTCATCGCTCTTGGAAAATAAAATGCCATAAAATTGAATAATCCTGTCAACTAAGTATCTGAATGATACAAATACACAAACCCTAACTGCACAAGAGGATATTCTATTCTCAAATGGACCTAATTAGAAGGGCAAGGGACTAAGAAAGTATAAGTTCGAAAATAAGTTCAATGAAGAACCAAAAAGAATTCATCGCTCTTGAAATAAAATGCATAAATTGAATAATCTGTCACTAGTATCTGAATGATACAAATACACAAACCCTAACTGCACAAGAGGATATTCTATTCTCAAATGGACCTATTAGAAGGGCAAGGACTAAGAAAGTCAAGGAAGCATTTGATGGATTGGTCAAGAAGATATTTGGGCCTAAGATAAAGCGCCAAATAAAGAGATGAGCTTGCAAGAAGATCCGGGGTTGGTTCACATGATCCAAATATGTGGACCTTAAGCCTTATATTTAGCTTATGTTTAAATTAGTATAATTGGACCTATTTCAATTGGGCTTTATATTTTAATTAGTTTTAGGGTTTTCTACGTATAAATACTTAGCTATCAAGCATTGTAGGAGGATTATTCAATCAAGAGAGGTGAATTCTCTTTAGTTCTTCATTGAACTTATTTTCGAACTTATCAAAAATAATTAATGTTTGTGGCGTTCATCCTATCACCTTGATATCTTTGGTTCATACTTCTAGTTGAGTTTTGGGTCAAGATCTGCAATTCCATCCAATAAGAAATTCCTAATTTAAAAATTAGGGTTTCTAATTTGGGATTTAGGGTTTATATATCAATTTGATTTGGGGTGTCAAGACGCTATTCTTGGGTTCTGCATTAAATATGTCCTTAGAAGCCCTTTTATTCTACTCCCAACTTAAGATGCATGTCCAAGCCCTAAATGTGATTCCTATACTTACTCTTCTATCCTCAAAGCTTGTGCAGAAATTGGTAATTTAGTGTTAGGTAAAGCCATTCATTGCCATTGTATTCGGTGTTTATCATCCCCAAGTAGAATTGTATATAATTCTCTTTTAAATATGTACTCTACATGTTTGAGTAGCTGGGGCTCTTGTAATGTTTTCCATTTTTTTGAGTATGATTTAGTTAATACAGTTTTAAGACAATGCGTAGAGAAATGTGGTTGCTTGGAATACTATGGTTTCATGGTATGTGAAGACAGAGATATGTATAAAAGCAATTAGGCAATTTAGGATAATGATGAAAATGGGATTGCAATGTGTCCGGTTAGTTTTGTCAATGTTTTCATCAAGAAATCTAGCATCAAACTGATGAAATTACCTTTTTTGTAATCTTGTCGGCTTGCAATTATGCTGGTTTTGTTGATGAAGGTCTTTAAATATTTGAGTCAATGAAGAGAGACTTTAAGATTCTGCCCACAACTCAGCACTACTGTTGTGTTGCAGACATGTTAGGGAGAGTTGGGAGAGTGATCGAAGCCCATGAGTTAGTTAAACAATTGGGTGAAGAAGGGAATGTGATGGAAATTTGGGGATCACTTCTTGGTGCTTGCAGGCTTCATGGACACATTGAACTAGGTGAGGTTGTTGCCAATAAGTTACATACAATGGACTCAGTACACAGCTTGGCAGGCTATCACTCCTTACTTTCCATTATGTATGTTGAAGAAGCAAAATGGGAAAGTGTTGATAAGTTGAGGAAAGAGATGAGGGAAAAAGGTTTAAAAAAGGAAGTTGGTCGTAGTTGGTTGATATTAGAGGTCATGTCATGCATTTTGTGTCTAAAGACTTGATCACCCTCAATGTGATGAGATATATGAAATGCTGGAAAGGTTGGCCATGGAGATGAAAGATACTGGTTATAGTCCTCTTCTAGGTCATATGTTTAATGTGTTTTGATGTTAAATGAGGTTTTTTATGGACAAATTACATTTGGTAAACGAAAGACTCTTACTGGTGGCAAATGGTGTTTTGGTTCTTTGCAAATGGTAAAATTGAAAACCATGATTATTTGAATGCTTATCCAAGGTGACAATTTACAGACATGCTTGACTGCTGGCTTGGACTTTTGAAGTATGTGAATAATTTGTTTGAAGGGGATGATTATTGGATGCTTTTCATGTCTCTTACTTTCGTGGTCTATGCAATTCAGTTCAGCAATGGTATTTGAAATAACCCTATTCAGGTCGGTCCAGAAAGACTTCTCATACATTATTGCCTTGTGTTCAATAAATTAACTTACATGTGTATTAGGTCTTATAAGATAAAAACATAGTTGGGGCTTCTCATTACATGTCATGTGAATATGCGAATTTGCTGCTTGGTTTTTCGTTTTTATGGTGGGATAAATTTTATTGTGCTTATTGGACCTGCATTACTAAATCTGTAAATTTGAATTCATTGAAGATCTATCATTTGTGAAATATGCAAATGTATTTGTAAATCCATAGCAAGAGAAGAATATCTTAATTAATTTTTATCAGTTGTACTGCTGAACTTATCACTTCGGTTCATAGCAATCGTATTTTCTAGTCTGTGAAAGGATTAAATTTTAATTGATATTTAATTACCTCTCGTGAACGTCTGAATAAGAATATCTTTTATCCTTGTAAGTTGGATTTTTCCAGTCTTTACATCTATTCATTTTCTTCAATAATTTTTTTCTTCATCCAAAAAAATTTGGTTTTAACTGGGGCAATAACAGGGTACAAAGGCATACAATCCCTGATCCTGTACTTATCCAGAAGAAAAAGCTCGGAAATATTCTTTCTGCTCCAACATTTACAACAAATTTTGAAGTCTCTTATCAGGACATTATCTGTGGGAACTTTATAACATGCACCGCCCGCTTGGCCCAATGTATATCAATGCCATATTTTACTAAATTAGGGAGTGTGACAGCTTTAAGAAGAGGATGTCTGGGCATAAGTTTTCCAGACCTAAAGGTACTGGTGTTCTTATTATTCGTTTCTCTCTCCTATAAGCAATCTTTATTTTCAATAAATGATAAATTGTGCTTTTGTTTTTCCTCTCTTCATTATAATTAATAGTTCCTTTCATCTATTTTCTTCCTCTAAAAGGCCCAAAGGGAGCAAGGACAGAGCCAAAGAGACAGCGAAGTGAAAGATCGATCGAGGGAGCAGAGCAAAAAGATCGAGCAGCGCGAACGATGGAACAAAGTGGCATACCTGTGAAATGGGACAACGTGTAACCATGATGTGCAATGAAATTTCTAACTTAGTGCTTCTTTATAGAATGTTTGTGTATTGGGCCATTCTCCACACTCCAAATTCTAACAATCAAGCAGCACAATAGAAATAAGCAATGCATACAAATCATGCTTCACTTTGTTCTACTACTATAAACATTCCATAACTAAAAAGTGAATAACTTTCTATGGCCTCGCTTTGTGACTCTCCCTTCCATTGTTAGCTGTGTATGCACTCTGTTCTGCTTCTACTTAACTAGAAACCTTTAAACTCTTGGCTACTCCTCCATACTTCTAAGTTCTTCTTAGTCACAAATCTGGTTAAAAATCATAGCTAAGAAATATCTTTTGCATGCGCTTTGTCAACTTATTCGTGAAAGGATACTGACCCATGACCAACCCTTGGGGCATTCCAATTGTAATAGGAAATCATTCTTGTAATCTTCAACCATCTGAGCATGAACATGTTGAAATTATATGAACCTTAATAAAAAAAGTTTCAACTGTTTTAGAGGCTTTGACTTAGCAAGCCAGCCAGCAATTGAAAAATGAGCCTCCATCAAACTTTTATGTTTTGGCTAAGATAAATATTTTCCCAATCTAGTAATATTAACTTTCAAGTTTCAAAGACACAGTGAAAGCAAATTTTCAATTTCTCAATTAAACTTGATACTTGAGGCTTATGATTTGACCATAAGTTTCTTTATGAAGAACTCCTATTCATACACGCATGTGCAAGAAGACATAAGGGATGTTGTTTTTGTGGAGGCGAAGGGAATAACAACAATAACAACTACTAAGACTTAATCCCATATTAGTTTGGGTCAGGTATATAAATCCTTCATTTTCATTCCATTCTGTTCATAATTAAGTATGTACTGAAGTCAAGAGTAGGTCTTTTTAGACAACTTTCATCTATAGCGTTCGGCCTACCTCTTCCTTGTTAACATCCGTAGCATCAATACATAGCACTTACGAACCGGGGCACATGGGAGTCTATGTAGGACATGACCAAACCATCTGAAACAATCTTTTCTCTTTTATCCCCAATCTATGCTACTTGCACTTTTTGTCAAATGTGATCATTTTTAATCTTGTCCAATATTGTGACCATAATGCATCATAAAATCTGCATTTTTGCAACATTCATCTTGTGGTTGAGTCTTCTTTTCTCAACCGAAAGAAAAAAGAAAAGAATTTGTTGAGTCTTCAAGACCTAACTAGAATAATTGTATCCCATATGAAGCATTCGTATGTAAATTGTTGAGCTATTCTTGAGAAGAAAGAGTATGCAAAATATTTGTTAGGCTGCCGGATGTTGAAAGAACATAGCATCAATTTAGTAAAATGGATGCTTATGCACATACTTTGTTTCTTGCTTGAATTTCATGATTCCATTAAGGGAGATTGTTATCAAATAATTGGATAATTTTATGCCCAGAATATGACTGGAATAAAAATAACATATGTTATTTCTCTTTTTTTTCTTCATTCCCCTCCCTTTGACTGTGAAATTATAATTTATGTGGTGTGATGTTTTTTTTTTTTTTTTTTTAATTTTTTAAAAATAAAATAATATGCTACCTAGCACAGGTCTTAGAAGCATTGGATGGTCTGAAGAAAGAAACTTGATGTAGAAGCAGAGGAAGTCTTTTCACCAGACAAAAAAAGGCTGTGAAGATTCACCATGGCTGATATACCCCTTCTCCTGCTGTAGTAACTCCCATTTAGGCTTAGAAGGGTGGGTTAGACAAATAGGGGAAAAAAAAAAAAAAAAGACAACTTGTGTAAGATTTTCTTTCTATTGTCTATTCTGATGTTCTGCTAAATTATGTTTAAGGTAAATTTAACATATTTCTATCAGAAAAATTTTAAATTAACACTTAGAGAATTATTTTTGGTCCAACATCTAAAAATGATTTTCAAGTTGGCATCCAAGTTCCAACCAATTTGTTTTTAGGGCAAACACCCTCAAAAACAGTACCAGCAGCCCCCAAAAAAAAAAAAAAAAATCAAAAATTTCTTTTCTACCATCAACTTTTTATTTTTCCTTTTCTCGTTTTAGCTCCATTATAAACTCAATAAATAGATCTAATAAATAAAACCCAGCTTTTTTTGGCATTAATAATATTAAGGAAATATAAGAAAATCAATCTTATCAAATAAATATTAAAAAAATATTAAAAACATGGAAATTTGAACTAAATCTAAAAAAAAAAAGATTATCTTAAATTCAGAGCGAAGATAAATCAACACAATTTAAAATGTTAAAGAAAAAAGAAAAAAAAAATCGAAAATACAACCAGAATAAAGATAAATTATCACACGTTTGATTGAAATTATGACTCCATCCTTATTGTTTGGAGAATCATTATGTTCCCTGAAAGGTTTAGTTTGTTAAATTATTTAGTTATTTTATTTAAAAAAATGCTATTTTTTTTCTATTTTATTTATTTGATTATTCACATTTAATATATTTTCACTATTTAATCTCTTACATTTAGTAATAATTTACTATTTAGTTTTCATACAACGACAACAAAAATATTTTTAAATGAAATTCACGGTAATTTCCTAAATATTAGGAAAGAAATAGTAATTTTGATTAAATTTGAGAAACATTATAGTAATAATTTTTCTTTTGAAATAAATAAATTTTAATATATTTATGATTTAAAAATTAAATAATAATAACATTGAAAAGAAAAGGGGAAGATAAATTACAGTGAAATGCGACGGGAATATGCTTCGGATTTTGGACCATCCATGATTTACTCAGGAGCACTCAATAAGTACCAACGCACACACCTTCCTCGAGACTATCAAACTCACTTTCAAAACCCTCTTTCCTCATTTCTCTGTCTTTCTCTCCCTGCGGAGTTACCCAAACGTGGAAATGAGGAGCTCACTATTCAGATCCGTCAAAACCCTAACAAACTCTACCTCTTCTTCTCACCTCCTCCGTCGTGGCTATGGCTCTGAGGCCGTCCCCGATCGGAAGGTCGCTGTCCTTGGTGCCGCCGGTGGAATTGGTCAGCCATTGGCTTTGCTCATGAAGCTTAATCCTCTCGTATCTAACCTTGCTCTCTACGATATTGCTAACACCCCTGGAGTCGCCGCCGATGTTAGCCACATCAATACCAGATCTGAGGTATTTTTCGATTTTTATAACACTGCTGTCAATTTTGCTTACCTCTTATCTTAGGTTTTGTGTATATTTACTTGTTAAGCTGTTTTGGTTAATTTAGTTCTAATTCTGGTCCGGTTGGCGCTAAATTTCCTCATTTTTATAGCTTTTGACATTATTAATGTGTATTTGGAGCTGAATCTGGTGTTTATTTGTTTTGGTTTCCTTGCCTTGCGGTTCTTATTATTTTGCTTGCGTTTTTGCGTCTATGTGAATTCCTGTTACATTTCCCTTTGCCTGCTTGCTTTTAGGTTAAAGGGTATGTAGGAGAAGATCAATTGGGGCAAGCCTTGGAAGGATCTGATGTTGTGATCATTCCAGCTGGTGTGCCAAGGAAGCCTGGAATGACCCGTGATGATCTGTTCAACATCAATGCTGGAATTGTTAAGGGACTCTGTCAAGCAATTTCCAAGTACTGTCCTAATGTGAGTTTCTACTTTTGTGCTAAAGCGTCCTATTCAGACGGCTATTTCAGCTATTTGATTGTTTTATCTTTTATGGGATTTCATGGCTGATGAATTTTGGGTTGAATTTCTTGGGATCAGGCACTTGTTAATATGATTAGCAACCCTGTGAATTCGACTGTGCCCATTGCAGCTGAAGTTTTCAAAAAGGCAGGAACCTATGATGAGAAAAGATTGTTTGGTGTAACAACCCTTGACGTTGTTAGGGCCAAGACTTTCTATGCTGGAAAGGCCAAGGTTCCAGTTGCAGGTTTGTGTAATCACATTCTTATTAGAACCTATTTTTCATAATTGTATCCTCACATATATAAAACCCAAGAAAGCTAAACGCTTTGGTTTAGGATAGTAAGAGCTTAGCTTAAGTAATTGGATTCGTCGTTAATATATGTAGCTCTCTCAATTTGTTATACTTATATGATGTAAAACTTATGACCCATTAGCTTCAACTTCTCTACTTTTGTACATAGGGCAAAGTATGAAAATTTGATTTATGATGCATGGATTTCCTGTTTTGTTTTTGGCTTTATGTTTCTTTTGCAGAGGTTAATGTACCAGTTGTTGGTGGCCATGCCGGCATCACCATTCTTCCACTATTTTCACAGGTACTTGCTTGCTCTCTCCCCTTGTGCACTGCTCTTGCATTTTTTGGATATAAGTTTGTTCTGTATAACTTTTTCAATGAAAAATCCCTTCTGGTTTTTGACATGCTTTTTGCTAATTTTATATGATTTCCTTGTTGAAGGCCACACCAAAAGCCAATTTGTCAAGTGAAGATATTGAAGCTCTTACAAAGAGAACTCAAGATGGAGGGACGGAAGTTGTGGAAGCAAAGGCTGGAAAGGGCTCTGCAACTCTGTCAATGGCGTAAGTTTGCATTCTGACTAGTTTTGATGCTTTTGAATTTTGGCTTCTTTAGAAACAATATTTGAATTGCTTGATGTAAAATCTTTCTACCTGCTAAGTTTTGGGGCAAAGCTGAATCAGAAGAAAACAACAGGCAAACTCTTGAGTTTCTGAAGGCCTAAAATTGTAACCATGCTGGAATTCTGGTTTCTGGATTGATTGCATTTGGTATTACATTTGTTTGACACCATGACCAAGACCTGAAATTTGGGAAGTCTGAAAATGATTAATCTTGTATGTTTGATTTTACTATTAGTGTGTATGAAATTTGGTTGGCAATTTCAGTTTTTTCAAATACGAAAACCTAGAGCTGGAGAACTGCTTCAGCATTGCATTTTTTATTCTGCAACTGTTTTACTTGTGTTGATGATCTAACTTATAGTTGATATTACTTTGATATAAATGCAGCCAAATGGAAATCTAAATCATTGGCTTTTATTTTTTTATTTTTTTTGTATCTGTTCAACTCTTCTGAACATGTTATGGATGCATTTACCCTGTGTTGGCCTTATGTTACAGAATTCCAGTGAGAAGTATGTCCTTTTTTTTGTTTTTACTTAAGAATCCAATGCTTTCATAGCCAGGTTTTGTGCAATTGCACTCTTCTTGTCTCAATGAAAGATCAATGTGCTTGATATTTTCCCGAGAAACGAACTTCCAGTGTTTATATTCGATGGATTTTTTGTTCTGTTTCTATTCTCATTTATTTCCATTCACGTCCACCGTTGCAAAAGGAAAACAAACTTTTTGTTGTTTACCAGTCTGATGGGTCTTTTGCAGCTATGCTGGAGCCATCTTCGCTGATGCTTGCTTGAAAGGACTGAATGGAGTTCCAGATGTTGTGGAATGTACATTTGTGCAATCAAGTGTTACTGAACTTCCATTCTTTGCTTCGAAGGTGATTTGACTTAACCATGATTGTATATGACAGATAAGTTTTGATCGATTTCTGTCTGGGGGAAAATTTCTCTGTTTTATGTGGGCAGCCCTAATGGTTTGAGTATTGTCCTATTTTTAGTGAATAATAGCTATCTTACCGGCATGACTTACAGTTCACAACTGCAGTTCGAAATGCTACTTTTTATCATTGTACTTGGAGTCTCTGATTGGGACATTGGTGTCTTGTTTCTAACATTTTGAAACAAATCTAAAACACAAGTTAAGATGAAAAGTTGTTGACAACATTAGTCCTCCCCTTTCTCTCTCTTTCTTTGTCACGAATGAAGCTGGATTATCAATGAAGGTACCAGAGAGTGTCCTATTAGAACTGTATTCTTTGAGATGGGAAAAAAATGGTTACAACATTTTTTTCCCTTTTTCAGTCGTCTTAGGTATTATGTAGGACACATGATTCATGTGGGAATATTGTACAATCATTCAATTGGTGTAAACGTTTCTGTTCCGTGTTTGCAGGTGAGGCTTGGAAAGAATGGTGTGGAGGAAGTTTTTGGGTTGGGCCCTCTTTCTGAGTATGAGAGTGCTGGCTTAGAAAAGTTGAAGCCTGAGCTTCTGGCATCTATTGAGAAGGGAATCAAGTTCGCCAACCAGTAATGCAGTTTACTTAGCTGGTAGTCATGTGTTCCCTCCATCATAATCACATACAAAATTTTTGCTTTCTTTTTCATGTGTTGTATTCATTGCTGCTAACTTCGGCAGCCAGCACCGGCTTTACTATTTGAGGTAGAGTAGGCTTTTTTTTTCATTAACTGAAGTTTTCATCAATAATACCCAGTGGAATGTAATGGGAGGGTTTCAATAGCAACTTGAATCCAATTTAAAAAATTTAGAGACAAAAAGTTAATTGTTCATGTGTCTGTCACAAGTATATGATGCTATGCGATCCACTTAAGTAGGGAATGCGTGGAAAACTATGAAAGTGGACTTGGCAAAAGTACTTGATGGATATATTTTGCCCTGCAATCGTTTCTCTCTAATGTATACGTTGGGAATGGAATTGGTGGACTAAGTTAATTGTGCTTAGGAAGCACATTAAGAAAGGATAGTCATCTTTCCTTTCTGACGCCACACTCCTAGCTACATCTATTAGTTCAACATGGGTTGTTCCCCATATCAGCTGTGGAAATGTTAAAGTATCGTTTTGCTTCTTATCCAAAGCAAGTGATGGATTTGTCTGTTTGGTATTGAATTCGATTTTTTTATTATCTTTTTGTTTTATACTGCTTATGAAAAATTGAGGCTCTAGAAAGTTCAAAAATATAGTTTTTTTTCGAATTGGAGGACTATTATTTAGTCCTGTTTGATTAAAATACTAATTCATTCCTACTGTTTGATGAGATTAATGACTGGTTATATTGATCTGTTGCTACTGATTGATAAAATTAATGAATGATTCATTTTTGAGGTTTTGTGGTGTTAAACTATTCTTCCAAGAAATGTTAAAGTTTTGTTGAAGTGTTTCTGTTGAAAATGCATGCTTTAGTTAATAAAGTGCTGGTGAAAATATGTACTTGCGTAATTTCTTTTTGCATAAGGACTACAGTAGTCTTTTTCACAAACTGAAAGTGCAAAATGGATTTTATACTTCAAGCAACCTCGGGGACTTAACTGTTGAAAAAAAAAAAAAATCTTTCTGCGCATTTATAAATATATATCTTTCCAAAATTTAAATAAATTTATGGTATATATTTAAACATTTAGAAATATCATTTAACTTTAAAAAAAATTCTTAAAATTAAAAAATCATACAGTAGATTAGAAATATTATTCAGTGTTTCGAAAAGCATTTGACTGATTAGAAAGCACCGATTATAATTAGTGACGATTTAATCCACCCCTTTTGAGTTTGAAGACTCTCCCTCCAGATTGTAGGCTTCTGCTGTTTAGAAACAGTTTATTATCAACAGCAAAAACGGTTGAAAATTACCCCATAATGCAATATAATGGTGATAAAATCACATGAATTCCTTTGTAGCATAACACTTCAGAACCTAATTTAACACGTGGGATTCAGGAGTTATATAACACTCGAGGGGCCAAAAGGAACAAGAACTTGGACTCCATTAAATATCTATTTCTTCTTGTCCACTATACCTTACAAGTCATGGGCAAAAGAAACTCTAATGCTAGTATTTGTATAAAATTATTCACCCTACCACCCAAGAACAAGGAATCAGCTTTTAAGCATAACCCAAGTTGACAAAACTTAAAATAAAAAGCTACAAGATTTCAAGTACCTTGAGAACACTACTACATTTCGTAACTGGAAGAACCAGCATCTCAAGCTTTGTCAGGTGCAGATAAGGATCCATCAATTGACATCTAAGTGCAGGCTGCAACAAAAACCATCCTCAAATCTCAGCTTTTAGTACTGAAATGTAAAAACTATATTGCCAGGAGAATTAAAAGAGAAAAGAAAAACACATGATATTCATTTTTCTTCAAAAAAGTTCCGGCCTTGCCTGACTGCACGTATGCACCAATTGGAGTTCTTACAACAATAGTGAACGAATTACTGTTCCTACAATAATTTTCATTTTGGATTTACTCTTTATTTGCATCTTTTTCTTTTTTTTTTGTAATGTTATGTAGTATAGTCAACATTAGCTGTCGATGAAAACACAGAACAACTGAAATCATATAAATAAATCTTGCCCTAACAAGAACAAAGTATTTTGTGAATGCATCATAAGTATCTTAAAGTCCACAGGTAATATCACAAACAAGAAATGTGGAACATAAAACTTTGCCACAGTTAGCTGTCAATGATTTGAGATCAGACACCAAAATTCCACTTGATGGGAACTTAGAAAAATTGAAAAAGAACATTTGAAGAAGTGCGGATAAAAAAAACATGTACAGCCAGCAAAAATCTAGTGAAAAGTACATTTCTACATGGCAAAATATTGCAGATACAAAAAAAAAATAACAATGTAGAAAAAAGGCTGTCTCATAGGTAAGATTTCCACTGTGCAAGTATTGAAAACTGTATAACTCTCAAGTTATCAAAAAGCTTGGAGCGGCATCTGTTCTTATACAATGAACAAATTCCAGATATTTCAGTCCGAAGCAAAAACTTGTGGATGGTTATGACTCAATATTTCAAATTGATTTCTAAATTTTAAGTACTGGACTAGGCATTTCCAAAGATTTTTTTATGAAAAGCACATGGATAAATTTATGTACTGAGCCCACATAGAATGTTGGCATAGCTTAAAACCACCTGCAAGTTTTTAAGCAATCCACAATGAGGAGCAAAGCCATTAACTTTAAGGGAAAAATACAATATTATATATTTACTTGAATAACTATTTTTCAGGGTCATGTGGAAACAAGAGATATGAAAGAATGCTTCCTACCTCAACTAAGTCTACCAGCTCCTATGTCATTGGCCTGCATCTGATCCATATCCTGAGCCACTATCACCTTCAGAATCTGCATGTGAAGTATCAAAGAAAAAGGAAGAAATCCATTTGCATTAACAACTGGAATTCTAATTGCCTAAAAATCTTGTACATGTAACCTCACTATAGCAGATAATGCAAAATGTCATCATTACCACTTGAAGATGATCCAGAGTCACTGCTAGAACAGCCTGAACTACTTGATTTACTCGCATTATCACCTTGTTTCTCTGCTCGATTGGGAGAACATACAGCAAAATCTTCTTAAGTGCTTAAAAGGAAATTAGCGTTTAAATTTGGCGCATAAACTTAGAATATCACCAAAACGCAATAAGTAGAGCCTGAAAAATGGCAAGGGAAATCCAATTGATTTTAAGAGCTTACCTGCTTTAGATTCTTCTGGTGCCCCTGCAGCAGTAGATATCTGATTCTGCATGCATATGAGATGAAAAATGTGTCAACCATTACGAGTATCATGCAGGACATTCATCTAAAGATTGAGCTAAATAACAATTCATGATCTTACAGCCTCCTGGTAGTTGTGGCCAGCTTCTTCTCTTTCATGACAAGTGGTTTCAGATTCTCTCTTGTTCTGGCTCAAATTCTTCTTGTAATTGGTTACAAGCCTATCAAGTTCCCATAGTGTGTCAATATCAAAACTATCAATGTCCACCTCAATCTCGTCTTCTTGTTGGCAGAGCCCAGGGTTCCTCTTTTTAATAATCTGGACAACACTGTCCAATTTCTCTGAAGGCAAATTCAGTAGGTCCATACTCAGTCTCTGCTTCTCTTCAAAAGTCATCTCTCTCTTTTCAGGATCCTTTGGCTCAGTCTTCTTTGACATTGGTGTCTTACCCTCATGTGTGACAATATTTGTTCCTTCTAAGTTGGAAACCAAAGGCTTTGCCATAGACTCTGATCTATCCAAATTCCTTCTCTCCAAGGGCATTTTCAATGGAGGAGGACTGCGATTAGGGGAAGGAGGAGCTGGAGCTGGAGCTGGAGCCAGAGCCGGAGCTCTCTTTGAAGCTTGTTTTGGAAAACTTGTATCATGCCCTATATCGTGCCTTTCATCACAGTTAAACTTGCCCTTCATAACTGTCCACTTCTCCTCAAACAATCTGAACAATGTTCCTGCCATAATATGCACATCCTGCCCTTTCTCATTGTAAGTCATAGCATTATTAAATGTCAATCTCACATCCTCTGCGAACTCTTTAGGTGACTTGTACCAATTCTTCTGCAACCTACTCTTTACTGTCCCCAAATCCATGGGATGCTTAATAATCTTATAATAATCGTGCAACTTCAATTTCTTCACATTCACAGGTTCATTAAACACCCATCCATATTGATGATTCATCAACTTTCCTAACAAATCTTCACACTTTTTAAATATCTCCCTATTATACCTATCCATATTTGAATCCAACTCCGTTACTTTCCCTCTGCCGACTTTCTTCTCTCCACTGCATTGTTTCAACTTCTTAGTCTCTAAATTACTAGTCTTTTCCTTCCTTATCACAGAAACTGGAGGATTCTTATGATGCTGATTCACTTTTGAGGTTTTACTCTCTTTCTTAACATTCTCGCCATCACCACCGTAATCATTAGCTAATCCTTGCAACGGCTGTGGATCACTGGGCCCCACATAACTTACTTCAGAATTAACCCTAGCAAGAGTACTGTTTTTATTACTATAACCTCCCCCTGTACCATCATCACCACCTATCATCCCATTATAATTATACCCACCATATTGAATTTGATTAGCTTCAAGTTTCCTTTTCAAGCTCCTAACTTGATCAAGTTCACTAACTAGTTTTCTCTTTAGCTCTCTAATAACTGATTTTGATCTATCATTCAAGCTAATTCTAACCTTATTATCAAATTTCACATACCCGGATAGTGAATTACCAGTCCTATCATTCTGTGGACCCGGTTGAAGGCGATTGTGACTCGACGAATGGTCAGACGCCACGGTGTTGAAGCGCTTCTGCTGTTTCGGCTGCTGCGAGGAGTAGTAGCTGTTCTTGTTGTACTCTTCGCCGCCCGGAGAGAACTGTTCCGGATGAGGGATATGGGTGGGATTTTTTGATTTGTTATGGAGTTTTTGGGCATACATTTTTTTGCTGCTATTGTTAGTATCTATCCATTTCTGTTTCTTTCCTCGAGAATCTCCACCGCCAGCAAAAATTGGCCCTGTAGCCATTTATCGAATGAACAAAAATACAAAATACAAAACCCTAATCTTGATGAAGAAACAAAACCTAATTTTGAAAGAAAACAGCTAATTTTTCTAATTCATAGGTGTAAATGATCTTAATTCGATGATTGGGCCAGAAATTATATAAATACAATGCCCAGGGATCTTTTTGGAAAAGGGTTTATGAAAGAGGGGAAAAGGTAGGGTTTTTGGTACGTCTAAGGTACAAAGATTGGAACTAGGGTTTCTGATTATTATTTTTTTTTTCCAAGGGAGAAATTGAGGAAGCTGAAGTGGAGTTTCAGTCAAGGAATTCAACAGGGAGAAAGTGAGCACACGCGCTTTGAGAGTAAAGTGAAGAATGAGAATGGAGGTGGAATGATGACAAGTGACAAGTCAGATGGGACCTAAGAACGTCCTCAATTTTATCCTTTTTGTTTAGTTTTTCTAATATAAGTTTCTATTTAATTCTCAAATTTTACCAAATTTATATATTTTTTTTTTTGAAAATGAAAATTATATTAATAAAAATGATACCAGGAAAAACTTAGTAAAAAAAAAAAAAAAGACATCTCAGCCCGAATCAACAGGTTCCTAATGCACCCAATCTAAGCTTTAGAATGCTACGTGAAAAAATCGAGGATCTCCAATCCTATTGCCAACATTGGAAATAATAACCTTAGCTAACAAGTGAACTATGGTATTAGCATGATGTCTAACCCAGGAAAGAGAAAAATCATTTCCTTCCAAAAGCAATCACCTATAATCTAAAACCAGAAGATCCAGCTCTGTTATACCAGAATATGAAAAATTAACCTTTTGACAAATCATCTGTGAATCAGATTCCACAACAACAGTCTTCTAGCCTTTCTGACGCAGTCACGAATGGTCATAACTTCCGTACAATATTCGAAGGTAGACACTGCCAATGGCGAGAATTAGGAACAGAGGAAACCACAACAGCGGGGACAGAGGAAAAACCATCACGAGTTGACTACCAGTCATACAAACCATGCCAAGCATAACCAACAACCTGATATGGAGTGAATCTTCGTTGATTAAACACCACCTGATTCCTACTTGACCAAAGTCTGTATAACAATTGAAAAATATGTTGAAGAGAAGTATCCTCCATCGTAGCCAGCACATGAAAAATAAATGATCCAAAATTAAGAAAAAAGCGATGCATAATGGGACATAGAACAATCCAACAAGCCTACGCATGTGGACATAAAAATAAAAGTCATTCTTAGTAAAGTTCCATGTTTGCACATCATTAAGGTTGCTGGGACTTAATGGGATAAGAAGAGTAGAAGAGATCAGCAGCGATAAATAGTTTATGTAATTTATCAAAATCCCATTGTTTATCATTTGTAAATAACTTAAAAACAATGGTGTTATGTGCAAAAAAACCCTGAAAATTTTGTTTTTTTTTTTTTTTAGAATTGTTATATTATTTTAATATTAGCCATATGGTGTACTGGCATCTTGTTTTCAAACGGGCACTCTTTGATTTCTAGTTTTACAGTGAATTCATTTGTAGAGCGATAAAATTGCTACTTAGATAAATAAAAAAAAAAAAATTTATTATATGGGCAATAAATAAAGGGCAAAATAGGGATACGATGGAAACCATCATATGTAAGTCACGTGTTTGTATCAAGTGGGTTTAATTACAACCAGGTAAGCTGCCAGCTATCAAAATTGGGTCCCACCGGCTAACGGGGGTATTCCTGCGTATGAGAACATAGTAATGTAAAAGGTAATAGCCGAAATAGTGTTCGTTTCTAAATCAGCATTCCAACCAAAAAAGTCAACCATAACACCTGATTACAAATTTTTATAGTGTAGGCACTCCATTGATGAAGTATGAAATAAAAAATTTAAAAAAAAGTAAAAAACACTAAATTTATAATTAACTCTATTTATTATTTATTTAAATAAATATCCATCATCACGCATGTATATTATAAAACCAATATATCTCTAAATTTTACCATATTTAAAAATTTTTAGATCAGATATAGTAATTAATAACTAAATTTCCTCTTCAACCGTATCTTAGATTATACTCCTCAAAATCAAATTATGCATTTATGAATTATTGTTATATGCTTCTCAAAAACTCGAATTCTAATCAAAATTATAATAATATCAATATATCTTTAAATACATTTTTTACGATCAAATTATATATTCATAATTTACGTCAAAAATTGTATTGCATAAAGATATCTCTTACAAATTTCATTGAAGAGATCTAAATTTTATTGCTTCACACCTTATAAGGCTTAAACTCAAACTTGTAACTTAAAAATGCCTATGACCGACTTAAATTTTCGTTTACCGGAAAACAATTTATATGAAACATGGGCATTTTTTTATTACCTTTTTACTGAAAATCCCTCTCTCTCTCTCTCTCTGTCCCTCTCATATTTTCATTTTATCTCTCTTCCCTTTTGTTTTCTCTCTCACATTTTCGCCTCTCTCTCTTTTTAGCAAATAACATGCATTGTATAAGAAATAAGCATCCAAAATCGAGGAACAACCTCCTTCTTCTTTTTCCCTACTTCGACTTGCTTCTCTCTTTTATTGCTATTATTCCTTTTCAATATAAAAAAAAAATTAAATAAACCCTTCAAAATTCAAAAACCTACTAATAATATTCCAAAAATAGGAAATAGAGAAATATTTGAAAACCTTTTTTCTTATTCTCACCTTGTACATGGAGGTTGAATTTGGACACAAATGGAGAATAGAAAGTTTTTTTAATGGTATTAATTTGATTAAAATTAAAAAGTAAATTTTGATGTCACGTAAAATTTGGGCAAAAGGAAATGAATTTAAATCGGTGGTAGGTATTTTAGTGTTACAAAATTGAGGTTTGAACATTTTTAAATAACAAATTCAAGTTTAAACTCATAAAATTTAGATTCCTCCAGTGAAATTTACTCTATCTATAATAATATATAATGCATTTGTATTGGATGAGTGACAATTATCAACTATCAAACTTACTCTCTCAATGTTTCATATAATCGGTTTATATTATTTTGATGTGAAAAACTTTAGCTTTCTAAAATCTCATTGCAAATTTGACGGTTATGATTGAGTTATGACACTATGGGAAAACTTATCTATCTAAACCTAATGTAAAAATAATTTTTTATTTAAATAAGAGTACTTTTTACTATTCATTGAAAAAAAAGTAAGAATTTCTTTTGAGAAATATAATTCGTTAATAATAATAAGTATACTCAATTAAAACAGATATAAAACCTATTATCATAATTAATAGAGAGTTTGCTGTCTTTTTAACAAATAAAAAAAATTATCTATATATTTTTGAATAATAAAAATAAAATTAAAAGGGACAATATTAAATTTTTTTATTTGAAAATGACCTTGACAATAAATATAAATTTCATAATAACAATTGGCCGATGATAAAATAATTTATCTCAATCTTCCATACATAGATTGATTTTTCAAAAAGTTGTTGCATATATATATACACACACATGAGTTTCCGCTGCTATGCATAAATAGTATCAATGGAAGAACATATTGTACTACCAAACTTCATCGTTCGAGGATACATTTATGTAAATCAAGATTTAAATTCTCTAACAAAATAAAATCAAATATCATGCCTTTATTTAGTACCAAATTCTCGTAAAGAAGGGATCTAATCCTCATGGAAAAAGAAATAAAAAAAAATTCAAATATAGAGACAAAACAATAATAAAAAAATAAATAAATAATGAATTAGTTGTATAGTTTAAAATTAAGATTACCTCTATATAAGATTAATAAAATAAATATTACAAATCGAAAGGGCAGAGGCAAATTGGGTGAATGGCTATATAAGAACCTATAAGGTGAAATATAGGATGTCGGCTTAATTGGGTCGATCAATGTTAAAAAGTTAGTACTAATTAACTGTCTAGTTAGCTTGTCACTCTTATATATTCTTCATAAATTTTATATTTAACTCAATATGGGATTCTTAACTATAAACAAGAATAAACTAATTTTGAAACATTTTCCTAGGCAAATTTGAAAGGAATTGTGCAATTGAATTAAAGCAGTGGAGGATTAAAAAATAAAAAATATATGAAATATTAAAATATAGAAAAGTCAATTGACCCTTCAGCATATATTGAAAGTTGCAAAAGAGTGTAACAAAATTTCAAGGTCATGTGCAGCCACACAGAAATTTGCCTAAGCACGAGGAGATCCGCCATCCATGGGCATTTAATGCTCCTGTATATAAATACTAAACTTCATACATACACAATAGTAATAATTAGAAATTTACAATCAAGAAGTTTATAGATCTCTATTGTAAAAAGAAGATGGTGCTAATCCTCTGAGACTTGCACCTAACAATGGGATTCAAACACCATACTCATAGAACTACTCTTCCTATTAGATATTCAACCATTCTAGCTTTAGCCCTTTTCTTTACCTCATTATTTCTCTTCATTTCTCCACTTAGATATGTACAAGAACCATTATTTCCTTCTGCATCAAAACCCCCACTCTTTAATGGTGACCTCAGAAATGCAAAATTTCCATGGAACAAGCTATGTTTTGGACAGACTTTTCATGAGAAGCTAAAACTTGCAGTTTTCTCTAAAACATGGCCAATTGGTGCAGCTCCAGGTGGTATGGAACGCCATGCTTCAACTCTATACAATAATCTTGCATCTAGAGGTCATGAAATCCATATTTTTACAGTTCCATCAGACAGAAGACCTCATGAAGATATCCATGAAGGGAATCTTCATGTGTATTTTGCTTCTAATGATCATGGTTCTGTTAATTGTTCTTTAGCATTTGAAATTTTCAACAAAATAAATACTAATGGAGTAGCATTTGATTATGTGCATACAGAAAGTGTTTCTTTGCCTTATTGGAGAGCAAAAACAGTGCCTAATGCAGCAGTAACTTGGCATGGAATTTGGTATGAAATAATGCACTCAAGATTGTTTGAAGAACTATTTTCAAATCCAAAAGGTAATTTTCCAACCCCTATGATAGATCTTCAAGAAGCAATGCCAAGACTTGTCGACGAAATTAGATTCTTTTCTAGTTACAAACAACATATAGTTATAAGCAAGAGCGCAAGCGAGGTATTAGTTAACATCTATCAGCTACCAGTTACCAACGTTCACATTATACTTAATGGAGTTGAGAATGCGAAATTTATGTATGACCCAGAAGCCGGATTGATGTTTAGAAGAAAATATGGTATCCCTAAAAATGCAAGTCTTGTAATGGGAGTTGCAGGTAGACTTGTTAAGGATAAAGGGCATCCATTACTCTACGAAGCATTTTCAGTTATCACTAGAAGTTACCCCAATGTGTGTCTTGTGGTCGTAGGGTTAGGTCCTTGGGGGAAAAGGTATGCTCAATTAGGTCCAAATGTGAAGGTGTTAGGTGCATTAGAGTCTTCAGAGCTTTCTCAATTTTATAATGCAATTGATGTTTTTGTGAATCCAACATTTAGACCCCAAGGGCTGGATCTCACATTAATTGAAGCAATGCATTGTGGTAAACCAGTTTTGGCCCCAAATTATCCAAGCATAGTTGGGACTGTGGTTGTGAGTGAAGAAATTGGGTATACATTTTCACCTAATGTGAAGTCATTGATTGAGGCTTTGGAATTGGTAATAAGAGATGGGCCAAAAGTTTTGCAAAAGAAAGGCTTGGCCTGTAAGGAGTATGCACTTTCTATGTTTACTGCTACTAAAATGGCATCTGCATATGAAAGGTTCTTTCTTTGCATGAAGAATACTAAATATTGTCAATATCCTCTCTCTACAGATTGTTAAAGTAGATCTCTTTTCCCTTGAAAAGTGATTTAATGTTGTATTTTAGTGTTTCATAGTTAAAATAGAGAGGATTTTTCCCTGATGTGAATCTCCTAATTAATATTTTTTTCATAGTGATTGTAATACCTTAATTAAATTAGAAAAATGACATTTAATATGACATATGAAGGTCAAATATGATAAGTCAATATGTATGGTCTAATTGGTCTTTTCACTTATTTGAGAAGTGAGATGTTAGAGACCTCTCCAGTATAAGAGTTTTTATCAATTTGATAAGTAAATGGCAGAGCTACGCCGGACTGCTGACTTTTGATGAAAATTGAAGTTCATATAAGTTAGAATTTGAAAATTTTGATATTTTCTTTAATTGGTGATAGAGCTAATTAGTTTATTAGCTCCTGAATGATGTACATGGTTTCCTTGTAAAAATTTTCAATCGTATGCAACAGAACTCCTCTTAAGTAAATAAGTGGAACATACTCCTGTCTTACACTTTGTTTAGGAAGTGGGAATAGGTGAGGAAAAGAGTGAAGAAAGAAAAATATAATGATGTGGCATTTTCTCTTATTTGGGAACAGAGTAGAGAAACAAGGGAAGGGAAAGACAGGAGAAAATCTTTCACTTGTGGCCATCGAAGCCATTCTCTCGTTTTGGCGGAAAAAAAAAGGTTAAACATTTGCGAAATTTGAGGTTTTGCAATTACTAATTATAATGAGATTTTCAAAATAAATTTTGCTATTTATATTTTTATTTCAGAAATTTATTCTTTTACAAATTGATAATTTTGTATTACATATTTTATTTTTTCAATTATTTTTGTTAGTCATTATACTGATATTAGATTTTATAATTAGATTTTCTTTTTCCTTACTTTTTCTTTCTTTATTTTTATCCACTCTCAAACAAGATTGGGGTAAGGGATAATCACACTCTAATTTTCGATCTGACTTCAAGTACTCTCGACTATAAGAATTAAAAGAAGAGGTATTCTTTATTGTGTAGGTTATAATACTATTTTGGCCTGTTGACCTTCCTTATCAACCGGAAAAAGAATATATTATTATGTTATCTAGATGTGATTTGGTTGATTTTCTCACCGGTGTAAAGAGAGACATTTTGAATTTAAATTTTATAAGCGTTTTTACCATAGTGAGTTTGAATTACCTCTATTATATAATTCATAATATTATTTCTGTCTATTTAAACTTTCTGCCCATTTGGGCTTCCAATATATATACTGACTTCAATGTTACTCTCGACTATAAAATTAAAAGAAGAGGTATTCTTATTGTGTAGGTTTATAAATACTATTTTTGCCTGTGACCTCCTTATCAACCGGAAAAAAGGAAATATTATTATGTTATCTAGATGTTGATTTTGGTTTGATTTTCTTCACGGTGTAAGAGGAGACATTTGATTTAAATTTTATAAGCGTTTTTACCATAGTGAGTTTGAATTACCTCTATTATATTAATTCATAATATCTATTTCTGTCTATTTTTAAACTTTCTTGCCATTTGGGCTTCCAATACTATATATATTATATATATATATAATATATAATATTGTTATGTTGAGCTAAAATCTTTGAGTTTTTATTTCTGTCCATTTAGGCCTTTCCCCAAATATGTAACATCCTCTTGAGTTGAGTCGGGTTGAACCCAAACTGGTTGGGGTAGAATGGTTATGATAAGCTGGACTTATTTGCATGGAAAAGTTTAGACTTGTTTGCCTCAAAACATATAGCTTGGGTAGTAAGTTGAGCCTTTGTATACTTGAGGTACCAAGTAGAGAGAATTAGAGAGTTTACACAGCCAAATCACCTTCTTCTAGAGTCTACCCGTTCCTATCATTTTCACTTTCCCCATTTTCACGTTTTTCATTCTCTTCTTACGTTTCCCTTCCATTGCCTTGCACTTTTCATGCAAGTTACGCATTAAGTCAACTCCAAGTAAGTAGAAGTCCTTGAAGTTATATGTTATTCAATCTTTAATTTCGTTATATTGGAGATGAGTTATGAGACTTCTTGTGTATAGGAGAAGAAAGTTCAAAAGTAGCAGAAAAGAGAAGCTTAAAATAGAGTCCAAGCTTTTTGGAACGCAAGGTTTGATATCTCTTGTTGGTTTTAATATTCTCTTTGTTTTATTTCCATGTCTTTTGGCATGAAAAATTGTGTGGAGTGTTGCTCATGAGATCATATGTTGCTTATTGTGGAGTGAGAGGGTTGAAATGATGTGAAAACAGGGATGGAATGAGTTTATGAACCAGATTTTGCTTGAGAAATTCTTACCAGCAACTTTTCATCTTGATTTTGACCCAGTAAATGATGGAACTGGAATTGTACATAGAAGAGTTATTTGTTTCCTCTATGTGTTATCTTTCTACGGGGCTTTTGAATTTACTCAATTTGAAGTTGTATATTGAGAGTTAGGCCCAAAAGAACACAGACTGCACATATCTGGAAACACACGTTCACGCGCCCGCGCGGTCGGAAAGCAGTCGCTGCTCGCGAACTTTCACTATGCGCGGGTCCGCGGACTTTTGGCCCAAAAAAACTTCTCTGCTTTCAAATTGGGCACCATTTCGCGCTCGCCGAACTCCACAACCGCGCTCGCGACTTCATCTCGCAGCTCGCGACTTTTGCTGACGCGCGTCGACGACTTAGAGCCAGAAACTCTCTGACTCTCGATTCACTTTCTCGCGCCTCGCGAAGGTTTGGAAAAGACGCGCTGCGCGACTTCTCCCTGGGAGCATCTCGCGCCGGCGACCTTTTTCCCTTGCGCCTCGCGACTTGTGTTTTTTTTGATTTTCATGCATTTTTGGACTTCAATTTCACTACAATTGTATTCCTTTGCTTACCATATATGCCTCCAATCATTTTAGCATCAAAATATAACATAAGAACATGGATTAAAACAACATGTAAGCAATTATATAATGTGAACTCACATCAATATGATGAACTATGAAGTTGTGGAACCATTTATGTGCTATTGTGTGACATTGGTGATATGCTAATATTAAGCTCCATTGAGGTTGGGTAGAAACCATGTAGATAAGGCTATGTCGCGACATAGAATAGCAGATCTGCGCCCCATACAGTTGCGCCCCATACAGTTTGGGAACTCGGCTACAGGCCGTGTTGAGTGGATATGATTAAACCGTGCGGTGCAAATCCGGTTAGGGGCACCAAAACGGACAATATTGGCATAGGCGAATCCGGTTTGGGGCCTATGGCATACAATTTCATCCAGTTTCATACAGTTTATCTTATCACTTCGGTTTCACTATGACCTTATGGAGCCATACAGATATCTTGACATAACATTTCATGAATCATACAGTCTACTATACAGCAAGAAAGATTATCAAGATAAAATGAAAATATCATGATCTGTGTGCTTACATTCCATATGTAAGTACATGTTTATTTCTACATATGTATGTGCTTATATGTTTCTATGTTTCATTATTCATTGTAATATTCACTGAGTTTAATCAGAGTTGCAGAATTCATACAACATAAAGAACATCAGGTAAGATCATGAACGTATATTGTTGTATATGCTTACACGTTTAATTATTGCTTCTGTAAAGAGTCAGTTCATCTGTAGAAGACACGGTCTTCAGGGTAGCTCCCTATTTTGATATGTATCTTTTATTATTCTTTCATGGCATGTACAGGGTACACAGTTGGGCCCATCTTTGGGCCCATCTCATTTTGAACACTTGTATCATGTATATACATATTCAGTACACTAGTAATGTAAACGGCATCGGTATATATATATAAATATTCAGTATTATGATATCAGTATGTCTAATCATACAGTCAACCAGTGTTGTAGCATCTCGACTCGGTTCATTCGGGTTAACGGGTGGACCGGGAAGGGGTGTTACAAATTTTGGTGTCAGAGCCCTCGGTTTAATTTCCCCGGGCTTGAATGCATAAGTCAGTATAGTGTACATGCCATGACTACCCTGATGAACTAAGCAGTTGTTGTTCTTTTCAAGTAATTATTAATAATTTTAATTAGTTGAATTAATTATGTGTTCTATGTTATTAAAAGAAAAACTAAATGTTGTTATATTTTCTTCATAATTACAGGAAAATTGTTGAAACAATTGAAGCTTTAATTAACGGGTGGACCGGGAAGGGGTGTTACAGTAGCACTTTATCTCGAGACTGTAGGGGGCGAGAAGAAGAGGAAGGTATATGGCATCTGGTCTCAGGCATCACAGTTTTACTGCGGCTCAGCATCTCACGCTTTTGCAGCCAGCGCAGTACCACAGCCCGAGCATAGTGCCGAAGAGTTTTCCGGAAATAGCTGAGTATTGGCTAGATGGGACATCGAGAGTCCTGGAACAATTACAGTGTTCACCAGAGGATAAGTTGATTTGTGCTACATCATTACTCATAGATGAAGCCTACACATGGTGGACTACTGTTCAGCAGCGAGTACCACCAGAGCAGCATACTTGGCAATTTTTCTTGGATGAATTCAAGAAAAAGTTTATCACCGAGGCTTACCTAGATGCGAGAAGGAAAGAGTTCTTATACCTGCGACAGAACAGAATGTCCGTTTCAGAATATGAAAGAGAATTTACCCGGCTTAGGTATAGGTAAGCAGTAGGTGGCTACAGACAGCCGAAGAAAGGTGTAAGAAGTTCTCAAGAAGGCTTGGAATGGATTTGCAGGTTCAGATGGGAGTTTTGGTAGCTTCCAGATTCAGACAGATTCAGAGAATTTTCAGCCTTGGTAGAGGCAGCTCAAGAGATAGAGTCAAGAGATAGAGCGAATACAGGCCAATCAGCGTACTAGACGCCAGCGGTCTCAGCAGAGAAGAGACCAGACTCAGAGTGCACCCAGTACACATCAGCCAGAAAGCAAGAGATTCAGAGGTGCAAGTAGTTCATCTGGTTCTAGGCCTCCTTTTAGTCAAGGCTTAGCCAGGGGCACTAGTGTGCCAGCAGCATCAGTGGTGGCTAGTTCTGCCAGTGGGAGTCGAGGTTCAAGCAGAGGTTCTGGTAGAGGCACTGGTAGAGGTGCAGAATCAGCCGGTTATACTTTA